TATTTTAACTACATTGCATTTGAGTATGGAGAGGCAACTATCTGGAAGTATTTTACATAAAAAATTTACTAAGTATTGCCCGGTTTGTAGTTGCAGTTAAAGAAAACACATGAAAAGGCACGATTTTTTTTAAATTCGAAAAAATGTAAATATTTCAAAAACCATTTTTCATTTCCATCAGGCTGAAAGGGAGCTCTTATATTTTAGTTTTTCTTCAGCTCGACATCTTATCTTCGTTCATATGAAACTGAATGAGTATAATCAAATAAGTCGTGGTAGCGCCTGCGATCTGTAATTGAGAAGGAGACAAAATTGAGCTCATACCGAGTTTCCACTAAGCGTTGACGTTACAAAACTGACACAAATTTTTACCATTTAAAAAAAAAAAGGCATGTGGGAGCATGATTATTATTTCTTAATGCTCAAATTTTATCAGCGATTTTTTTCATTTAAAGCCTGGTGGAAAACCGTTAGTATTTAAAAAGGAACAACCGAAAATATAAAAAACAAAAGGTAGTATTTTTTTGTAAATGCCGAATAAAAAATTCAAGCCAAAAAATCTTAAATAAGTATTTTTTGTAAACTAAGGCATAAACAAATCGAATAAATTTAATTTTTTCTGCCATTAAAAACCATAAATTTAAAAAGTAGAGGCAAAGAGATACAATGAAATGTGATCACAATAATTCTTCTGGCATAGGGTCCCTCTCTTATTATAAACTTTAAGTAAAAAATTAATAAATAAATAATAAATTAATAAAAATAAAACATTTTGAAAAGTTCTAAAAAATTGTTGTGTACTTATAAATATAGGACTGGCAATGTCCACAAGGCGAATTCATATAAGGTAAAAACGGGAGTACAAAAGCAAAAATTTACATGTATTTTGTTTTTGCTTTCGCGGCATGAACTTTAAAAATCAGTAAAGCTGATGCCACATAAAACTTTTGCTTCGCTTTACGTGACAGATTCGCTTTGACAGATAAGATGAATTGTATGAAAATGCACAAAGCATGCCACATAAATCGTCGAAGCTGCAGCGCGAAGCGAAAAGATGGCCAACTCCCATCTTTTTGCGCGCTTTGACAATCAGCCAGTTTAATATTTATTTTGTTTCGTCCAAATTCGAGTTTTCATGCAGAAACATAAAACTTAATTACATTGCTGATAATTTTAAAGCAAAATATATGAAATCCACAGCAACTTTGACTAGTAAAAAAGCGGTACAAAATTGTTTTCTTGGCGTTCATTGTGGCATACCTTTTGCGTTTGGCGCTTTGCTGGCAAAGTTATAAATGTCACGCAAAGCTACAAAGTTTTATCTGGCATCAGCTTAAAAGTGTGCGTGAAAAAGCAAACGAAATATTCCATGAGGGGAAAAATACACACAAAATCAGCTAATCTACCAGCGCCACCTTGTATAAATTCGCCTTGCGTTTAAAACTGTCTTTCAGTTGCTATGAATCACGCAAAAACACTTTTAACCATTATAAAATTTATGAAATTATGACATTATGTTACACCTTGTGATTTTGTTTTTGAAAATGATATAATTGCCATACCTTAACAAAAGCGTCAGCGTTGTCAAAAAATTCTCACGCCCATAAAATTTGTATGAACCATACAGAAAACGTCGAAACTGTAATTTTCGTATTTCCCACAAACAAACCTATGCTTATTGTTGGTGTTATTTCTTCATTTAACGTACCATTGCCGCTTTTGTTCAGGGATGGCACTTCCGCGTCAGAAAACGCTCCACCCAACGCTTTTGTTTAGTTTATGGCAGTAAATTTTTCTTATAGTAAAAATTCTAAATTTACAAAAAAGTCTAAATCTTTTGTATGTGTAATTGAAATAATATTTTTATTACAGGTCCAGTTAGTCTAGACTTAACTTACGTGATTACTCAACACGTCATTTTAGCCAGAAGCGAAAATGTTTTTGTATTTTGCTTTTCAGCTAATTGCCACTTTGCCGCCTATAAGTCAAATCCAAAAATTTCTGGACAAAAATAAATTGCGTTGGCCAATATAATAGGTAACGTTACGTAATATAAGTTTTGACTAACCGAACCTTAAACCCCGAGAACTCACCGTATAAAGCAGAGTGCAGTTGATATCGAAGAATCCAGCAGCTGAAAAAGCCAACTTTTGATGCAACAGCTGTAGGGAGAACTGCTCGATCTATGGAGAGAAATACATAACTAGATTAATACTTTCAGTTACATTACGAAAATTGAGTTTGCAAAAGTTTGTTTATTTAGGTTTATGAATCCATCCACTGAACTGTGCCAAGGACAAGGCAAAAATTGGCAAATTGGATCGAATTGATTACTTTAGACAGGTAAATATGGTTGGGCTAACAGAAGCTCATTTGGACCATAAGCACAAGTCCGTTATGCTACCACTACAAACGTCTGTATGAGCCGGGTAGACCGCCTTCGATACACTTTTGGTCAGAAATAACTTGCATATGGCTTGATTTTCGAACAGAGCGAGACTCCCACTCTCTCTTTTCTCGATGTCTCGAGGCTGCTTTACTTGGCCAACACATCCCCAACGCATTATCACTACCTACATAGTTATATGTGTACATACATAAGTCTGACTAGAAAACTAGACGCAGCTATAGAGTATGTCAGGCGCTTTCTTTATAGGTTTAGATCACAACAAGAGCGATCCAAAAAACTGACTGCCGCTTGGCTATCAGAGTACTTAGAAGTTAACTTTCCTTGCTGGCTTCGCGTAAATGACCAGCCTATCCACTGCATTCGGAAAAATGTGTAACAGTGATTTTGAAACCCTAATTTGCGATTTATGGAGATCATCTTGCGAAATATGCCTACATTAATCCTTCCGTAAATCTTCAAACCATCCATTTGGAAGTCTTCCATTGTCTCTTTCAAACTACTGCCTCATGTCCACTCATCCCTGTAAGTGCAGATAAATTGCTCGGCTAGGCACTCAGTTATCCGTTTTAGCAAGGATATAGTCGAAGCCTCCCAAAATACTAGAGTGTCCAAATAATTAGCATGCTAAGCACTCAGTTCTCCTAAGTCTGACAGTAGCCTTTGCTGCACCAGCCTTACCTAAGCAATATTAAGGATGACGCTAGGAGTCTAAAGTAGCAGCGGTCCTAGGTGCCCTACTGATTCCAATTAGAGCCGTCAGCTGTACCCGCTCTAACTTTCTGATTAGTGCAGCCTTCTCTACGGCATTTCACCTGACCAGAGCTGCACAAAAGCTTATGGGCCTAACTATGATTTTATAGAGCCATGAAGTAGCTTGGAAATGAGAGAGGCCCCATTTCCTACCAATTTCCCACCCTTGCACTAGTAGAGAGCCTTTGATGCTTACTTCACCCTCTCCTCAATGTAAGACTAACACGACAGTTTCCCAGCGAGAATCAAACCTGGGAACTTGACTCTAACAGAAAAGCTTAGTGCCTTCGAAACGTAGTCCTTAAGAATAGCCAGTCTTTTCCTCAGTTCTGCAGCTACTTCCGAAATATCGGACTCCCCAATACTTCTTGAGCTCGGCGGTATTTGAACCGTGACGTACGAAATTAGTGGTCTACTCCACCTGAGCTAAGTAAGCTCCATAATTTCTAAAGGTAAACTAGGTCTTACTCACCACCGTGTTGTGATTATCGTTCCAGATATTAGTTTCAATGCGGTGCAGCCCCAAAGCGATTGTGGTCGTCTGAGAGTATGGCAATAATTTTATTTTTAAATGAAAAGCCAGATTTATATTCAACAGACTTACCTTCTGCACAGTCCTCTCACAGAGCAATGCCAACATCAACACATTGAAGAGGTGTGGCGCCGACCAAACGGCACTGCTGGCGATTTGCAAGAAATCATTCAATGTGGCTGAATAGCCCTTGAAATTCAAGAAAATCCAATAGCAATTCGATGTAATGGATAGGAAATCATTGCCCACATTTGTTAAAATCGAAACACCAAAATCAGCATTCAGCGTGCCAGTTAACTCCCACAAGCGATTGTAGAGATCGCGTATGGTTAACAAACGTTTCATATCTGGATTCTCCATATCAGTGCGACGATTCTGCCAATCAGACGTTTCGTAGCTTGGGAAAGCTTGTGTTATATATTTCATTGCTGTATTTGAGCTGGAGTCTTTATCCGGCTTCTGCTTGCTCTTCAGCAGATTGAGTTCATTTAAGACTAGCACCAATTTATCCAAACGTTGTCGTACAATCATAATGGCGGTAAATATTTGAAAATATCGTAGGCCACAGACGAAAAATGGCAACAGATAGAGCAGCCAGTAGATAGAGAAGTGACGATCTTTGGTAAGAAACTTTGCGAAGAGTATGAGCAGCTCGGAGCTTACATAAATGGCGAGCATAATGAGGCCCCGACGCCTGAGCTGACTGCGTAGAGAGCTGGGAAGGAGGAAGGTAATATGATGAAAGATATTTGCCGAATTTCTACTCACCGATTATCGACCTCCACATTTAGCGAACACTCGAATACACGATCGATTTCTCGTACCTGCTTGACGAATAAGCATTGTCCGCGTCGCTGTAAAAATGCCTCAGAAATAGTTACCAAATGTGATATACGTATGCCAATTATTTGTATATAATCCACTGTTTGTCCAACATCATTCTGCGATTCACGAAAATAGTTTTTATCGAAATATACGCCAAACACCAGAATGGCCAGAGACATGGTGACTGTACAAATGGCATAGCACTCGAGCAGACGTGAAATATAAACTTTGCCATTTTTACGATCCAACAGCCATTGGGATAGCGCAGCAATTTGCAAACAGATATGTAAGCCGACCGTTGATTCAGCGATGTCCATTATGTGGGAGTTGATTCGGTTTATGTATATATGTATGTATTACCGGCTAAACAAAGTGCATTCGACACTAAAAAGTTTAACTTTAGCTTGATGGCAGCAGCTTTTAAGTATTAAGTTTAGATCAGTCTAAACGAGAGTCGATTATCTAAAATTAAAAAAAAGGGCCTCGAAAGGTACTATGTACACTAGGGAAAAAGCAAAAGAAATCGCGAAAGTGGTTATAAAGACCCATTCTAAAACTATCCATTCAGCTGCGAGAAGCTGGAGCTGCAGCTGAAGCCAAGTTTGCAGAAGTGCAGCGTGTGGATAGGGGAAATTGGGGTGGAAATTGTTGCAAATAAGTGGGGCGAAACCGAGTAGTGACGAGAAGACTACATACCTGACAAGTGAATCTAAAGAACAAATAGGCAGTCGATAAGAAGAAGGAGGCGGATAAATCAGACGATACGACGCTTAGCAGGCGTGGGAGTCAGTAAAGGCTGACGAGCCGGGAAACTTGACTAAGTGAGACGTGCGCTTCGATGCCGGGACGACGCGATTTTCCAAGCACATGTTGTATGAAGAAAGTCGAGGAGTTGTTCGAGACTCCGATTTCAACCAGTCCTTATTGAAACTTTTGCGCGATGCGCCAGATTTGGATTCGGCGAAGTCGTCAGTGTGGTGACCCACAACTAGTCGGAAAGGGATTAAGTATTCGCTATGTAGATCAGGAGCCAAGAAGCGGGACTGACCGGTGTTTGCAGTGATGACAAATGATGATCATGTCAACAAGCATAGTCTGAGTGAAGCTGACTAGTAGAACCATACCCCGAAGATGTGTTGAGCCGCAGACTTACCCGTGATTGGCATGGATAGATTTGTTAGTGAGAGGGAGGCTTATTCCATATCGGCGTGGAGAGTAAAAATTTCCTTCTGGCTGAGCGAATCATTCGCGTAGGAAAACGGGTAAGAACGTGAAGAAGGAGCTGAGATTCTGAAAAATTGGCCAGGTCATTCGTCGGTAGGCTAAATTTGGGGGTGGGGAAAGCGGCTACCTAAATTTCTGAGGTTATACACAGCGTGTTGAGACCCTGTGTCTAATTTGACTGGAGAGCGGCTGCATTTATGAAGAAAGAATGTTCATATGCACAAGAAATGTCATATGCCCCTCTTGATGGTACTTGATGTAGTTGTTCTCAGATGTGCTCGGAACGTCTCCTAAATTTAGTGTCATTTTACACAGAAAAGACAACATGGCGACCAAAATCTTTAAGTCGAATAGGAAAACTATAATTGAGTGCTTCGGTTTTCCCAGAAAACTGAATATTTGCAATACAGTTCAACACAAGATCTTTATGCTCAGTTTGCGCTGATTCTAGCAGGAGTATTATAGCCTGACATGGTGTCCGAGGATTATTCTAATTGTACTCAAGTAAATTATTATTAAACTTATACACTTATATTAGCTTCTCTTTTAAATATGCCATTAGCATGAAAAGGTCAAATCTTTTTTTGTTTTATTTAAGTATTTGGCCGTTCTGATTCTTCATGTCACTGCTTTTTTAAACCGACTCCCTTAAGCTTCTGTTTCTTCTCACACTCTATTTAAGCTTTTAAAGAATTCTATCGCACAAAAAGCGTCTAAATTTGCCAATTTTAACCTGCAAACTGATAAGTCCTTGAAATCATATTTTCATTGTCACCTAACAATTGTTCACAGAAAGTAAACCATTAGCTGACATTGTTCTTAGCTAATGCAAATTCCATTTATTTGATATTTACCAAGTCATTGGAGAGTAAGAAATTCCTGCACCCAGCAAATAAACAAATGTAAGCTTTTAAATTCAGAAAATAGTGCATCAACTAGTTACGATATGGATAATACGAGTCCAAAGCTGCCGCAGGGTACCTGTAGGAAATAATTATGAATATTATACTCGTAATTATGCTACGCTAAGGTAGATTGAATTGAGATACTTGCGACGATATGTTGAGCAAAATTTAGCTCCTTCACTTCTCTTTCGCCTCTGGAGAAGACATTCTATGCAAAATCCTTAATCTCTTAGAAACTGATCTCTTCATTTCTATTAGTTTAGATTAGTCTAATCTTGTTAGCAATATGCCACACACAGATTAGGTAAGATGAATTCGAACCTCAAGTAAGTATCCTATGGGATACCAACATGGCGAGTCCAATTAGAGCTTAGGGTCCTACTGTTGCGACCCTCTAAAGGTACCCAAAATGAGGGAATCCAAAGGTATCTTGAAAGAGTTCTTAATAGCGCTGCGTGGGTGCATAAGAGTTCCACAAAAGTTTCCTTGGTAATTCCAGTCTTGCTTCTAGTGGGCCAGCCATCGCCCTGAAGTCTTTTTTCGGCAGTGTCAATACGAAACGCGTGTACTTTCTTTCTTTTTGATTGTACAAGACCCCAGTAGTTTTGCAGGTAAATCGACGTCTCCAACTAGCAATTGCTTTCTATTTCGTTGTATCTAGAAGTGTAATTTTGTAAAGTTACTTTGGCTTTCGATCTATGTAGGCCGGTTTCGTGGACTTCTTTCCATCTTGAAGATATGCCCCCAGACTCCACTTCCTTCAGTTTTGAGTTGTTTGTGCAGATATTAAACGTTCTATGTCTGGGTCCAATAGTATAGGGATGGCCGGTAAGCAATTTCATCCGATGCTCCGGTCGTACAGAAACTGCAAAGTAGGTCCGCACCGCAGTCAGGTCTTAGCAAGTTCGTTGAGTCGTTTCAAGGCTGCTAAGAAAATCGGCAACGATCGCCGAACCGTTGACCTGACGACGGATTTGTTTAGGATTGCAAGAGACATTCTCTCTATTTCTGCGCTTGGCTTGAAACGTCTTGCACTCTGGATATATGTATGTACACGTGTTTGTAGGTATCAGCCGGCGTCCTTGATCTTCTAAGGCGTGCGTCTGGATATTGCTCAAACGCTCTTTAATACAATATTAGTCAGGAACAAATTTTATATCTACCAAAGGTCTTTTCCTCCTTACTTTCGAAACTAGTCATTAAGCATATTTCCTCCCCATTTTGCGGCCAGTTACGAGTATTATAGAAGTAAGTAACTGCCTGTTGAGTTTGAAACTGAGAGTATTCATGTACTAAGTATGAGTAAGCTGGGAGAATATTTATGGAAGTAAAATTTGTGGCCATCCATCATCTGTAATTGACATATACTTACTTACGATGATGATGGCTAGTGAGAGCCCATTGAATGGGTTTACCTGCTATTTTGTAGATATTTTTGTACGTAGATACTTATGTATATACTAGCTGCATAGACGTGCCGATAGGTACTTGTATTTGTACTTATATGTACATACATATGTATAATTGTGCTGAATTCTATTTGTGATGATTCATATTTTCCTCAAAATAAACAGCAAAATTGAGCTATTATTTTTACGAAACATCTTTAAAAACCTTTTGTATGCAGATTAGGCTGCACCATCGAAAAAAGTCGCGGCGGCCTGATGTGAAAAGACCTCCAAAAACGAGTTTTTACACCCAGGCGCACTAGTACAAAGGGTATTAAAATTTGGCTCCCATAACGGTTGTTTGTAACAGCCTAGAAGAATCAAGATAGTTATAGACGAATGCATATATAAATGATCAGAATGAAAAGAGAAGTCGATTAAGCAATGCCTGTCTGTCCGTCCGTCCGTCCGACTCTCTGTATACACGTTTACTCGAGAAAAAATTGAGATATTTCCACGAAATCTGGTATACAGGCTGCCCTTTATCCAAGGTAGGTTGCTATTGAAAATTGGCGAAATCGGACTGTAACCATGCCCCCTTCTCATATAACGGTATTTTCGAAAAATGCAAAAACTGTGATATTTCAATAAATGTTGGATACAAATTGTTGGAAATTGGCATCTGAAGTAGAATTTTGGTGCAAAATAATATTATTATGAACTTTTTGGAAAAGCGGCGTGACCCCGCCCACTTATGATGAAATACTATATCTTAGTAGCCGCTTCACCAATTCTTACCAAACTCGGTACTAGCTTGCTTAGAACCCAGCTAAGACATTTGTTGAAAATCTTTGAAATCGGGCAATAGCCACGCCCACCTCCCATATAACGGTACTTTACAGAAACACGAAAACTGCCATAAATCAGTAACTACTGAAGCGAATTGACTGAAAATCGATTATTGCAATGACCACTGAGCGGAAACACGCGTTTCATATGAGGACCAAATGATGGTATTGTGTGAAAGACTCTGATTTATTAGTTATATTTTGAGACTTCAGTCCTGCTAAATCCACCATAGACCAGAATTTGATAGCATGCCAGGTCTTATAAAATATTTTAGGTGAACAAATTTACACATACTACACCTTCGTCAATTTCAAAGCTCGTTTTGACCGCACGAAGAAGGCTTATACCCAGACGTCAAGTACAAATTCGAGCGGTCCGCAAAACGAGAAAAGGTTTTAACGGCTTTAGGGCTCTTTACGTGAGAGACATATACCGACGAAGATACAATAATGAGCTTCACGAAAGAGAAAGAAAACTTGGCGGAGTTTTTGAGTGTCGGTCCAACCCGATAGATGGCGCTAGTGCATAAACTTTCTGATTTAAAAGGAAGATCAATGACAATTGAAGTCCTTTACGTCATTTTTCAATTACTTTAATACGGTGGTTGCAAACCCGAGAATCTGGCTAAGTTTAAATCTGGACGCTACTTTTATTTCATAACATTGCTAATTTTCTGTGATTAATCTCCAATACTGGGTGATATGGGAAAATGCATGTATACTACATTTAGGACTAAATACAATTTCTCTGTTTCTTTTCGGTACCTGATTTTAACATCTATGATTTTTTGCTCCTTTTATCTGCTGCTGGTGAAGTAATTGTCTTTTGTCAGAAAAGAAAACAAAAGAAAGATTCACTTCCGATATATGTATGTATTTTTTTTTTATTTGTAAATGAGTAATTTAAGTATATATGCATTCCAATTGTTTTTTGACGTAACGATTAATTTTC